AGCTTGTTTTAATACAACTTAATGATTTTATCAACACCCATAATGTCTTAGAAAAATTTCAGTCTGGTTTTAGGGTGAACCACAGCACTGAGACCGCCCTTCTGAATATTTTTAATTATTTTAGAGTAAATTATGATAAACGGAAGGTGACTGTGTTGGTTCTACTGGATCTAAGTGCTGCCTTTGACACAGTAGATCACACTATTCTTTTAACTCGTTTGAGACGGATCGGCCTCTCTGATGCTGTTCACCGATGGTTCACTTCCTACCTCCCAGACAGGACTTTTATGGTGAGTTTGGATACCTGTCCCTCTAGCGTTCATGGGGTTACATGTGGCGTGCCCCAGGGTTCAATTTTAGGCCCAGTGCTTTTTAACCTTCATATGCTCCCTCTTGTCAGTGTCATCAGGAGACACAGGGTGAATTTCCACAGTTACGCTGATGATACACAGTTGTACATCTCTGTGTCTCCTGATGACACGCGGCCAATGGATGCACTTTTTAATTGCATTTTAGATATTAAATCCTGGATGGCAGAAAATTTTCTCCAGCTAAACCAGGATGAAACTGAAGTTTTAGTTATCAGTCCTGAAGCCCAGAGAGAGAAACTTTTACCAAAATTACAATCACTGTCTCTTAATCCATCTTCACAAGTGAAGAACCTGGGTGTCACCTTTGACTCTGAGCTGACTTTTATCCTTCATATTAAAAATATCACCAAAATAGGTTTTTATCATCTAAAGAACATCGCCAGAGTCCGCCCCATTCTCTCTCGGGCCAATACGGAGATGCTGATGCATGCTTTTATCACCAGTAGGATAGACTACTGCAATGCCCTGCTTTCTGGTCTTCCTAAAAAGAGGATTTCAGGTCTACAACTTCTACAAAACTCAGCAGCACATGTCCTGACGAAGACCAGGAGGCGGGAGCACATCACTCCAGTTTTAGAACCACTGCATTGGCTCCCCGTACGTTTCAGGATCGGTTTTGAAATACTTTTAACGGTTTTTAAGTGTCTTAACGGTCTTGGGCCTTCTTATCTTTCAGAACTACTTATACTGTATGAACCCACGTGGTCTCAGCGCTCCTCTGGCAGCCGTCTCCTTGTCATCCCTAAAGTCAGGACACATATTCACGGTGAGGCGTCCTTCCAGTATCACGGTCCTCGCCTCTGGAACGAGTTGCCAGGGGACCTCAGGGCCGAAGAGAACATTCATGTTTTTAGAAACAGGCTCAAGGCCCATCTTTTTAGCTTGGCTTTTAACTGATTACTAACCCTTTTAAATAAATAAATTAGGTTATTTATCTATTTATTTATCTATTCATTTATTTATTTTATGTATTTTTTCTTTATACATGCTATTTAAACAGAGTTTTTGTTAAAATTCTGGGGATGGGAGGGAATGTGAGTATGCGGGGCCTTTTTAATTTGTTGAGCACTTTGAGTTGCATGTATTGCATGAGTAAGTGCTATATAAATAAAGTTTGGTTCTTTTGAAAACACAGGAAAGGTGTTTCCTCAGAGCCGACGTCAGCTCTGAGGATGTTTTGCAGCCGGCAAATGAAATGTTAGCAAGGTAAAGAAAAACCTTTCCTGTGTTTTAAAAAGAACCAAAAATGGAATGTGAAACTAAACACAGTAAGAACACACCAAAGATAATGACATTTGTGGGTGTTTTTGAACAGTCGTGGCCAAAAGTGTTGAGAATGACACAAATATTGATTTTCACTAAGTTTGCTGCTAAACTGCTTTTAGATCTTTGTTTCAGTAGTTTCTGTGATGTACTGAAATATGATTACAAGTACTTTGTATGTTTTAAAAGGCTTTTATCAACAATTACATGCCATTTATGCAAAGAGTCAGTATTTGCAGTGTTGGACCTTCTTTTTCAGGACCTTTGCGATTCGACTGGGCATGCTCTCAATCAACTTCTGGGCCAAATCCGGACTGATAGCAGCCCATTCTTTCGTAATAACTTCTTGGAGTTGGTCAGAATTTGTGGGTTTTTGTTTGTCCACTCGCCTCTTGAGGACTGACCACAAGTTCTCAATGGGATTAAGATCTGGGGAGTTTCCAGGCCATGGACCCAAAATTTCAACGTTTTGGCCCCCGAGCCACTGAGTTATCACCTTTGCCTTATGGCACGGTGCTCCATGGAGCTGGAAAATGCATTGTTCTTCACGTAACTGCTGTTGGATTGTTGGAAGAAGTTGCTGTCAGAGAGTGTTTTGATACCATTCCTTATTCATGGCTGTGTTTTGGGGCAAAATTGTGAGTGAACTCACTCCCTTGGATGAGATGCAACCCCACACATGAATGGTCTCAGGATGCATTACTGTTGGCATGACACAGGACTGATGGTAGCGCTCACCTTTTCTTCTCCAGAAAAGACTTTTTCCAGATGCCCCAAACAATCAGAAAGGGGCTTCATCCGAGAATATGACGTTGCCCCAGTCCCCAGCAGTCCATTCGCCATACTTTTAGCAGAAGATCAATCTGTCCCTGATGGTTTTTTTTGGAGAGAAGGGGCTTCTTTGCTGCCCTTCTTGACACCAGGCCATCTTCCAAAAGTCTTCGTCTCACTGTCCGTGCAGATGTGCTCACACCTGCCTGCTGCCATTCCTGAGCAAGCTCTGCACCGGTGGCAGTCCGATCCCGCAGCTGAATCCTCGTTAGGAGAGGATCTTGGCACTTGCTGGACTTTCTTGGACGCCCTGAAGCCTTCTTAACAAGAATTGAGCCTCTTTCTTTGATGGTCCTATAAATTGTTGATTTAGGTGCAATCTGAGTAGCTACAATATCCTTCCCTGTGAAGCCCTTTTTATGCAACACAGTGATGGCTGCACGTGTTTCTTTGCAGGTCACCATGGTTAACAATGGAAGAGCAATGATTTCAAACATCACCCTCCTTAGTGTGTGGTAGTCCTCTGCCATTCTAATGACTTTTGAGCTTGACAGTGTGTGATATATTTGAATATTTGCCTCAGTCACAGATTTTAAACTTTAAAATGTGTATAGTGCACAACCCCATCAGCTTCACCACATAAACGTTAAAGGGACTTTACGGAGTTTTGAATTTTTATGCTTGCGATTGCCCCCTCAGGCCAAAAGCGTAACGGCAGCTTCAATAGTAGGCTCGTGCACGAGGCGCGCATGCTGTACGTGCACACTCCTTAACAAAAATAACAGCGGAGACAGTCAGCTCTGTGTGTGTGTGTGTGTGTGTGTGTGTGTGGCCCAGAGGACAGAGGACAGGAGAACGCGCAGCTAATTAATTAAATAATTTGGTTCTGTAACTTTCTCTTCAGCACAGCCGACAAAGGTTTAAGATGGGTCAGGTCTCCCTGTATGCTCTTGAAAAATTGTTCCAAAATGAAAGTTGAACCCACATCTTTTTTTATCTGTGAATTCAATGCCGTTTGGCGAGTCTCAAATAAAAATTTGGGCATCTTACTGTAAAAAAATATACCATTAATGTAAAAAAAAGAAACTCTAAATAAACTATGTTCACATCCAGAATTGAACCCAGGTCTTCTGCACCAAAGTCCAACATCTTACCAGGCAAGCTAACGCAGCAGTGATGTTACTTGTATCTGTACCATTTAAGAACAGTTTGGAGGGCTATGCCTGAGCGTGAACGCACAGGAAGCAGCCTGCTCGACCCGAGCAGCTCTCTTTTCCTGTGATTTTACAGAAAAATAGGCAATCACAGTAAAAATGCCAGGGCTTATTCTACAGGACCAGGGCATTGCAGGAGAATGTATGAAGAAGAAATTTATTATTTCTATACATGTTTTGGCTGTCAAACTTCCATAATGCCCCTTTAAAGAGACAAGGTGAATTAACTCAAAATAATCCAAATACGAAGGAACAAGAAACTACATTTCCACTTGCATCATGACCGACAACAAAACTGTGTTTTTTAGTTCCCAAAATGTCTCAAAACAATCTTGAGAGTTCTCAGTTTGCTTGCGAGTCAGAGGAAATGTTCCAAAAATGAGTATACAGTAAATGTTCTCCTCAAAATAGATGCAAAGTAGTTGTCTGCACCTGGAACCTGCGTCTCAAACTCATCTCAGTTTTGTTTCTGAGATTCAACACAAGAAACAGGAGACAGTTTTGGGATCGGATTATGAATAGAAATATAATGAGGAATCTTTTTCTTTTGAGTAAATAGAAAACTTTCATATGCCCTTTTTGATAGCTTCTCATAAAAGTTTCACAAATATTTTGCAATCTATTGCAATAATGTACTGTGGTCCTTCCAGCTGAGCATCTCTCCAAACCCAGATGATCACGCTGCAGGTGAAAACTGATAAAACCGCTTTCTCAAACTTCAAACGTTAGCACGCTCCATCTGTAATGCATTTATCTCACAGAGAGGAGAGACACCACCCGAAAGTGTGTGTGCACTGAAAACACAATCATGTGGTTACACTGACCGTGTAGTAGTCCTCACTCGGTGGGCTCTATTCTTGGAGCTCTTTCATGTGATCTGCTGCTGTGGGGTGTGTGTGTGTGTGTGTGTGTGTGTGTGTGTGTGTGTGTGTGTGTGTGTGTGTGTGTGTGTGTGTGTGTGTGCGCGCGCGCGCGCGTGTGTGTGCAGCAGAGGATCTATATTCTCACGCTAACACCCGCTCACATTCCTCTATCTCAACTTCTGAGTCCAGCCAAGACTCTCCTATGCAGCTTCCTGTACAGCTATTTCAGCGTGATGCAGGAGGTAATCGCACGCATTCAAAACACACTATCACAAATCAGCTGATGTCCTCATGAACATCATCTGGCACACTTTCAGCATGGTGCGCCATCACGTCAGCTCAGCGCACTGCGACCATTTGACCTTGTCAGCGTTTTTTTTTTTTTTTTTGCTTCCCTGCACCAGAGTCCCCTTAAAATGAAGCATTCTTGGATTTAAGGGCATCCCATAACTCCTCCCTCCCCCCTTATGTTTGCAGCGATCCTTTTACTGTACTGAAGCAGAGAAACACGCACTTACCCTCGCGCTGTCTGCCCGAGATTCCCTCACATGTGCGCAGCGCGTCGCTTCTGGGGTAAAAGCGCAGATTCGTGCGCACGTCTGCCCTCCTGTCGCCTCGATCAGCTGCAGAAACTCAACGCAGCTGGCACAGACACGGAGGCTGCCAAGCTGCAGGGGTGGTGGGGAGAATCTCTGACTGGTCCAGATTCTTACAAAATTTCAAGCCAGATGAGCGCTTCGGATTATAGTTGTTGTAAAACATGCGTCAGAGTTCAGAGCCGAATCCTGGGCGGTGAAATGATGTCACAAGGTTCCCATTCAGTATGAAACCCCTCTAAGGCCATCACTCAGCTTCCTCTGACCGCAGGGTTTTACAGAACAGAGGCCACTCAGTCACATATTGATCTTATTGATTAGTTATCAACACCCAGAGGGGGGTTGTCAACTTGTTTTTAACAGCCTTTCCTGCTGTTTTTTTTAAACTTTTCGTTAGATAAAGGAAGGAATACAAACATTTTCCCTTTTTAAAACATTTATAGTGTGGGTTATTAGCTGTTTGTGTCAATGATTGAAACAATATGTGAACTGGCAGCCTCAAGAAAAAAAACCTTGTGTATATGTGGAGCTTGGTTAAGATTAGCAAGCATCACATAAAATGCACCATGTAAACACAATGTGAACTGGTAAAATAAACAATAAACTGGTATAGCGGGTTATTAAAAACAAGTCCAGGGAATCTGCCTCAAAATGTTGATTTGGACTATGATTTTTTAAAAATGATATCTATGGTCAGTACCAAACATACCCATTAAGTTCTTCCCAAAAAAATCCCTTTGAGATAAAGAAATATCAGCAGTTTAATTCTCTACATTTTCAGTACCTTAAAGAATGAGCCATCTCAGGGATCTGTCACTGACAATGTGTTGTTTTTGTTGTTAATCTCTGGAAATATCCATCAAAATATTGTTGAAAATCAATTGAATGATGTCCAATAGTTGAAAAATGTTGGTAACATGCAACCATAAAACTCATGTCTAAAATATATGGGAGCAGGTCTAAGTCTCGGAGTGATGCCATGTTCCCTTCTACGGGAGCCCATGAGGACAAAATGCTTTTACTGATTTGTAACAAGTGGTTACAAAACTTTCACCATTCATAAGCATTGTTGTTTTACACATTTACCTCTTCCCTAGTGATGAAAGTCTGATGTGCTTGTCATTTTGCTGGTGGTTGCATACCAAGGGATTTTGACCCTAATGGTCATTCTGATCCCGCTTGTCCACGTCGGTTCACGAGGAGGGGGTGGGGTGTGTATGTGTGTGTGTGTGTGTGTGTGTGTGGGGGGGGGGGGGGGGGGGGTTGCCTATCTCCAGCGGTCAATGGGCAATCAGGCGGTGTACACCTGGACAGAGAGCCAGTCCATCGCAGGGCGACCCTAATGGCCATCTGTTGGTAAAGTCTTACTTGAACACAAATATACTGCTTGCTTGCAATGATTTAGGTATGTACTGCCCCCTATCGCCAGCGATTATATACACCATCTCTTTAAGAAAACAAGCTGTGGCGGGCTGGCCACACCCACCCATCTCTTGCTCAGGCTGTTATAAGCTGAGAAGCATTGATGTCCAGGTTGGATGCTCCTCTAGTTGGAGCTGTCTTATGCATGTTTGTTCGTTCATTCGTTTCGTTTATTTCATTCAATCAATCAAATAAAAGTTACATTAAAACAATTCATGTTCACAAATAATCATAAATGAAAAGGAGCAGAAAGAAGCAAAAACGTATAATATCTGCCCCCTTTTCACATCAAGACATTAGCTGTTCAACTCAAAGAATTTCGTTCATCTAACCCCCACCCTAACACAAAACAAGTCAATCAGTCTACTTAAGGTCTTATTACTTCATCATGATACATTTCACATTTTTTTAAATACAGAAAATGATTTAGATTGTTTTATTTCACTGTCGAGACTATTCCATAAATAGACACCTTTAACTGAGATACAACTTTCCATTATCGCTGTTCGGAATCTTGGTTTTGTAAAATTATCAGTTCCTTTTAGATTGTAATTACTTTCTCTTTTTACAAATTTCTTTTGAATATGTATTGGTAGAATTCCTTTATGTGTTTTGTACATAAGTTTTAATCAATTGTATTCTACTAGTTTGTCAATTTTCATTAGGTCTAGTTGTGAAAACATTGGATCAGTATGATCCCTGTATCCACTTCCACTGATAACTCTCACTGCTCTTTTCTGTAAAAGAAAAATTGAATGCGTATGTGTTTTGCAGGTACTTCCCCAAACTTCAATACAATATGTCAGAAATGGAAGAATTAACAAGTTATATAGAATATGCAAAGCTTTTATGTTCAACAATTCCTTCGTCTTATTTAGTACTGAAATAGCTCAAGATATTTTAATTTTAACATAATTTATGTGAGACTTCTACGATAAGTGTTTGTTAATAATAACACCTAAAAACGTAACATCTTTTACTCTTTCTATCTCGATTCCTTCAACATTTATTGATGCATCAGCACTTTTTTACTACTACAAAAAACTATAAAGTTAGTTTTATCGATATTTAAAGAAAGCCTATTGATATCAAACCATATTTAAAAATTTTGTAAATTAATTTTCAACTACATTTAAAACATCTTTTATATTTTCTCCTGAATAAAATAAGGTAGTGTCATCTGCAAATAGTATGCACTTGAATAATTTTGAAACCAAAGCAATATCATTAACGTATAAAAGAAAGAGTAATGGTCCAATGACTGATCCTTGTGGTACTCCACAACTAATATTATGTATAGAGGATTTTATATTATTAATTTCCACAAACTGTTGTCTGTTCGTCAAATAACTTCGGACCCACTCATGTGCTACTTCTCTAATCCCGTATTTGTATAATTAATCTTTTTTTTTTTTTTTTTTTTTTTAATCTTTTATTTCATTCACAATGTATAAAATAAACACAAACAAATACAGGATACATTAACATATTGAGAAAAAAAACATTTGAATGAAAAGGAGCAGACAGAAGAAAAAATCTTATGATTTCTGCCCCTTTTTACGAAATAAAATTATCCGCCAAACAAACACAATATAACCTCGGTCACTTTATAATATTTTCACGTCTAATCTTTGACATTATAATTCTTCTTTTCATAATTACTAAATACATTAGATTTTATACATTTTTTAAATATTGCAAGTGTAGTTGATTCTTTAAATTCCTTGTTAATGGCATTCCACAATCTTACACCATTTACAGAAATGTTACATTCCCTCACTTTGGTTCTGAATCTAGGTTTCTCAAAGACATCAGTTCCTTTTAACATGTACCCACTTACTCTCTTATGAAACATTTTCTGAATATTAGTTGGTAGATTACTTGTATTCGCTCTGTACATTATTTGCAATATTTTCCACTCTACCAAGTCAGGAAATTTCAGTATTTTGTATCTAATGAATAATTGATTAGTGTGATCTCTATAGTTACTGTTATTAATGATTCTCAATGCTCTTTTTTGCAAAATGATCAATGGTTGTGTAAAAGTTTTGCAAGTGGCTCCCCAAATTTCTAAACAATAAAATAAATATGGTTCAATCAGTGAGTGATACAATGTTAACAACCCCGACAAATTTAGTAGAAACTTGACTCTATATAATACCCCTATGGCTTTGGCAATTTTCCCCTTTATATAACCTACATGTGATTTCCACGTGAGACTCTCATCGAACATGACTCCAAGAAATTTGGTTTCTTTTACCCTTTGAATTTCCATTCCATCTATCATTAAAGATACATCACAGCTTCTTTTGTTATTAAACAGTATATAGTTTGTTTTGTTCAGGTTCAGTGACAGTCTATTTATATCAAACCATTTTTTAACTTTAATCAATTCACTGTTTATCACTTGAGTTACTTCATGTATATTTAATCCTGAATAAAACAATGTAGTATCATCCGCAAATAAAACTGTGCCAAGTAAATTCGACACATTTACCAGGTCATTAATAAACAATATGAACAGTTTAGGTCCGAGGACTGACCCTTGTGGTACACCATAATAAATATCTTTTAATTCAGATTTAGCATTATTTATTTGAACAAACTGTTTTCTATTGCGTAAATAACTATTAACCCATTGATGCGCCACCCCTCTTATTCCATACCGGTGTAATTTAAGAAGTAACCTTGAATGATCAATGACATCAAATGCCTTTTTTAAGTCAATAAAAACACTAATGAAATGGTTTTTATTGTCAATTGCTGATGAAATTTTATCTACTAAATCCATAACTGCCATTGCTGTTGAATGTTTGGTCCTAAAGCCATACTGTTCATGATTTAAAATTGAATTTTCGTCAATGAATTTGTCCAACCTTAATGCAAACACTTTTTCTAATATTTTGGAAAACTGTGGAAGCAGTGACACTGGCCTGTAATTAGTGAAACTCTGTTTATCACCGCTCTTAAATAATGGAACCACCTTGGCAATTTTCATTAAATCAGGGAAGACTCCTGTAGATAGTGACAGATTACAGATGTAAGTGAATGGTTCAATAACAGATTCAATTATAGCTTTTACAGTCACCATGTCCAGATCATCACAATCAGTTGATCTTTTGCTTCCCCAGTTTTTTACAATGTTTCTTATTTCTTGTTGATCTACTTTGTCAAGGAGAATACTATTGACATTTCTAGGTATTGTATTCATTGTATCGTGAATTATAGGTTTGCTTTCCACCAGACTCCTTCCTACATTTATAAAAAAATCATTGAATTCATTAGAAATTTCTTTAACTTCATAAATGTCTTTATTGTCCTTTACAAAGTAGTTTGGGAGTCTCGCATTTGTATTATCTCTGTTAATCACATTATTTATTATTCCCCATGTAGTCTTGATGTTTTCTTTGTTCTTATTCAATAGCTCACCATAGTACTCTTTCTTCTGTTTTCTAATTATTGTTACTAATTTATTTTTATATTTTTTATATCTGTCTTCGGCTTCCTTTGTTTGTAACTTTAAGAATCTCATATACAGACTATTTTTTTTGGCACATGCATTTTTAATTCCATTAGTCATCCATGGTTGGTTGTCCCTTTTACCTGTTATTTTAATTAATTTACAACTACTGTTAAACGATTTCAGCAGTATTTTCATGAAGGATGTATATGCATTGTTCACATCACTGACATAGACTTCCGTCCAGTTCTGCATTTTAAGATCTTTATTTAGGTCCTCCAGGGCTTT